ATTAGGGTTTTCCTCCAATTTGAGATTTTAGTGGCCAAATTTTCATCGATTTTGTCAACTATTTATTGTAGTCCATATATGATTATATAATTAATCCAGGATAATTCTATGATTTCTTTTGTGTGATGTAAATTTAATGGTCAACATAAGTTCATACAGGGAAAGAACATCTCAATATTTATAAATTGATAAAAACAATAAAAGTTTTACATTCCTATAAAACAATATTTATAATGAATTTTAATATTTTTTTGAATTTTTTTTAAGTTTAATCCGAGCGATTCGGCTCGATTCCCGATCCGGATCGTCGATTCACCGATCCATATCGATTTTTTAGAAACCCGATCCGAGTCACCGATTCGTTTTTTAAACCAATAGCTCGACAATTTTGCTAGAATTGTGGCGACTTGAACCCAACACAAAGTAGGTTTGAACCCCTAATGACCATCACGGCCTCGAGAAAACCGAGATGACCTTCACGGACCTGACACTATGTGAAGTTTAGTCAACGTAATGCAAATAGTGATGAAAAGGGACATTGATGAGGCTTTAGAAGATTTGGGGTTTTTTCAATAACTTGTATAGAATGCTCCATAGCATCTACACGTCCAATCAATGGCGAAGAATGGACCAAAGATCGCACGGTATCCTCACACGTACCATCTAAGTGACCTTTCATGGTCTAGTGTCCACCGTCCAACATATGTCAACATATGTCGGATGGTGGAATGACACCACACAATGCGCCCTAGTTCCCATAGTACATCTTCCCTTGTGTTTTGGGACTCGGTATCAGCTCCTTGTCGACCAGAGTGTTACGATAAAACTCGAGGTTATATAAAAATTTTAAATTAAAATTACAAAAAATATGTTGGATTATAAAACTATGGTATAAATAATTTATCTATAACTTAATATTTTTATGATACTTCGGTATTTTTCCCTTTTTTTTGGATTTTTCTTAATATGTCTGTCTAGATATAAATTTTATTTTTTCTAAATCACATATATATTTTTCATCTTATTTGGACTTTTAATGTTGTTTTTAGTTTACTATGATTTCTACTATTGTAATTTTATTTTTAACAATTTTTAAATTTTTCTGCGACTTACTTGACTTGAGCAAGGCCCAAGTCCCAAGGCCGAGTCCCTAAACATTTGGCCCACCATTACCTTCTTATTCGGAAGGCGAAGCCAAAAGGATAGGCCACACAAGAGCAGCATGGGACGCTTTTATGGTGTGAACTTGCTCGACCTAATGAACCACCAAAGAACTTCAATAACTTTTTGAAATAGCCACTTGATCATCAAAATTTAGTTAATTTCCATGTTTGATTTGAAAGTGGTCACCCAAGTTAATGGTCTTGACTAAACACCTGGACTAGTTTGAGGCCGGACTGGCAATGGGTCGGGCGGTTTGGCCCGATCCTAAAAAGTTAGGGCAAGGGCCAGGCCCACCCCTCTTTTTCTTCTATTTTTTGTTTTTTTTGTTTTTCTTTTATTTTTTATACAGGCCGGTCTTGGGCTGACCCTATAGGGATAAGGGCCAGTCCAGCCCAAACCCGTTGCCACCCTTAGTTTGGGGTTAATGGAGGGTCAAATGAACGATTGTTCAATGAAAGACTTCCCATTGCAAATTATATATAAAACAATGAGTGCTTATACTATGCTCCCTTGGGAGCATACTATACATTTATCCCTTGGGCAAAAGGTTTACTTGGTGGGATTTTTTCAATCTTAAAATTTGGGAGCTACCTAGTAATGAGTAGATGAGTATTTTTGGTGGGATTTTTTCAATCTTAAAATTTGGGAGCTACCTAGTAATGAGTAGATGAGTATTTTCAAAAGAAAATTTTGATTCTGATTCTGACTTCTCTAACCCTTAGATCTCACACTTTAAGAATATTGGGAAGTTGTGCCTTCCTATCTATTTGTGAATCAAAAAAAAATATCAAAGACCAAAGAAATAAAAATTCGCAAATTTGCAAGAAATGAGAAGCAAACCAGATGCTAGGATTTATGTGAAAAACCCTTTTTAAAAAAATACATTTATGTGGTAGACCACCCTTCAAAAGAAGGGAAAAACCATGGGGCACCACATATCAAATCTCGTACGCAAAAAAACAAATATAATAGTTCTTCTCAAGTCAATTAAACATAACTTGAGGATTAAGAACAAATAATAATAATAACAATAATAATAAACATAAGGTTATGTCCGTGGGATCAATTTCGTCTGTCTTTACTTCTCAAAAGATTCACTTATTTCTTCCCTTTATTGGAGAATACTGGCTTCAATCGTATAAGAATTCTCAAATCTCTTTAGATTTTTAGAAGAAAAAATATATGTAAGTTTTATGTACATCAAAAAACCTAAAACCTAAAGAGAAAAATAAAAAACTTCAACCTCACATTATAATTATGCGCTCACCTGAAAGGCACTTTATTATAAGAAACCCTAACTATTAAAATTTTGCTTTTTCTCAAATATATCATTTTTAATTGGGATTGTCAATAAAGAGACAATTTATGTTTTGTACATAAAGATGGCAAACATTCTATGTCCCTTGAATGTCAAAATGGGTGGTTGTAAGATTGTCATTAAACAGACATAAAGTTAAAAAAAAAATATTCTCGAACTTCGTGAGTCATCCCAAGCCATCCATTTAACAACTAATGAGTGGAAATGTTTGTGACCTCCATGTATAAAAGAAAAATAGTCTCTTTATCAACAATCTCTTTTTAATTTTTATTTATCTAAAATATAAACCCCACTCTTCACAAGGCCAGAATTCACAGACTTATGAAAAAATCTGTAATAGAGAGTTGAACAGTCTCTATTCAATCTTGAGGCATTATTTTTTCAAGCACATAGAGAATGCAATTTGAAAAAAATTATTGATGTTATGGGTTGATGAGGTTACATTGCCAAATTTTTAGGTTCTACGACTGCAAGTGCGTTAAGATGAAAAGAATTGATACCCAAAAGTTAAGCTTAATTATATATTTGAGCTTAATTAGAAAATCACACAAAATATATGGGACTATTTTTAATTTTCAAAAATAAAAAGAGATTTTTATGTTAATTTCGCAATACGTGATATGGGACAAGGGTTTTAAATTCAAAAAATGAAATAGGATTTGTCTGCAAATTTAGATAATAAAAAGAAGAAAATGTATTACATGAGTAAGCAGGCGCAAGAGCTGGCAGACCCATGAACGTCCATCTTTAAGATAAATGTTGTACAAGGTACACCAGAGATGGATGGTGTAAAAAAAGTTCCTTAGAAAGGATAAATTTTCAATTTTATTTTTTATATTCATGATCATTTTGGCCTAAATCAGAAATCCCTAAAAATATGGATAAAAAATCATTCTTTAAGATGAATTTTAAATAGGAGATACGTGTGTACATATGCATCGGCTAACCCCATTCTACAAAGAATCGTAAAAAAAACCTATCAAATTAGCTCTTCAATTTCCTTATTTTTTTAAAAGCTTTTCCATGCTTTGCTTCTCAAAATCGAACTACGACCATTTAGTCAAAATCCCAAGGTCTTTTTTCCAGGCTTGTTTCTAATTAGTTTCTTAGAACACAATGAATTCTGATTTGGATCATTGATCCGAATGAGAATCAGTCAAGACCGGACAGGTTTCAGGATGATATAGGTTCTGGTCCGGCTTTCCCTTGAAACTACTAATGCTGAGAGAAATAATAAATAGAAAAATAAAAAAAATTGAGAGATTATACTTTCTCATTGGATCTGCAAGGGAATCTACCCTATGGTCTTTTCACATGATCAAATTCTTTCTTTATTATCTGATCATATTTTTATTTGCATCATTCTCCTGGGTTGGAAGAAGTTTTACCTCGAGTTTACATCCTTCAAAGGCCAATTGAATAATTGATGATGTAGTCTCACAATTCCTCTCTGAACTATCTTCAATAAACCAATTTATTGAATACTTTGTGTGCAATTTGAAATAGAACACTGGGATATTAAATTTAATATTGATTTCTTTTTCAAGTTTATTATAAAACTCGAGAAGATCGAACAGAATACCAAGATCATGTGGATGCTCAAATAGTGATTTTTGTATCACAATGTGATCATCACATTTAGGATCGGTACACCTAGTAAGTCGTAGAACTCGATTCATCTCTACAATGAAATATGATGTTTGATCTTCATGATTGTGAGCATCCTCCTTTCAAGTAATAGTATTCTCCAACTGTTGGTTCATTTCACGAATTTTACTTTGAACACCTCTCATGACCTTGATTAAATTTTCTAAAGTATGTCTCATGCAATCATCCATTGCAAGATTAGTTTAAGGTGACATTGGGATGGTTGGATCTTCTTTTCAGATGGTCAGACCTCTTTTTCTCTGATACCAACTAATGTAGAGAGAACTATTAAAAAACATATATTGAGGTATTATGATACCAACTAATGTAGAGAGAACTATTAAAAAACATATATTGAGGTATTATAACCTGGGTTTATAAGAGAGTCCACCCTAATATCTTTTCATAAGATCATACACTTTCTTTATTCTCCCATCACTTTTTTATTTGTATCAACTACCCCTTATATATATATTTTTATTTTTTAAACTTATCTAATTTTTTTATCCCCATCTTATAAGCTCCGATTAATTTTTATTCTATTGTATTTAGTTTTTATAGTTTTCTAAATTACTAATCTAGACTTGTTGGAATCGCCGACCCAACTATCCGAGACATATCTTTGGATGAACGATCCGCCTCACCCATCAAGGGTTTAAAACACCATCTCCAATTATCGATTTAGTACCCACAAAGGCACCTAGAAGAAAATGCAAAGGGGAAGAAGCCATTTTCGTATTTTCAGAAAATATCAAGGAGATCTGAACCTTACCCAACGTTATCAAGGCACCGCCTGTGCCCATTAGTTTAATATGAAAAAAATACCTCTACGTACTTCAATTTGGCATTCACGATCTTGAAGACCTAAAGAAAACCCGGGGAAAAACCAGTGCCTTACTGGACTTATTCGAGTGATTTAATTGGTAAAATTTTGAGGAAAATGAAGACCGAGAAATCTCCGAAGAAGACCAAAGGGAAAGAGGTATGCCATATTTTTCTTTTTTCTCTGCTTCTTGCCCTTCATTCAATGTATAAACTTTGGGCCCAATTTGTATTTTGGATTTTTTTTTTGGATTTTTCTTTTCTTTTCATTTTTTTTTTTCGCTGGAAATCTATTTATCCTGAATGGATCTGATTGATTTTAGATGCACATCTGAATAAAAGGACAAAAAGATAATTTTTTATGAATTTGTTCTTGATTCGTAGGAAATTTGAGTTCGAGGGCAACTGTCTGTTGCACAAAACAAAAAAAATTGAAATTGTTTTTCTGAGATTATTTCTCAATGTTTTGAGAAATTTGGGGTCAGGGTTCACTACCTTATGATTTGCAAGTAGATTATTTTTAACACCTTGGAGTTGCAAACTTGCAATAAAGAAGAAAAAATAAGAAGAAATCTTTGGATATTGACACTCTTAGTTAGAAATGCGAAAAACTTTTGTTTTGTAAGCAACAGATAAATGGCATGAAAAATTTATCTCAGTATGTTATATGTCCTTATCAAATAAGGAATTTACGGGAGTTTTTCCTCTTAACCTCACATCTTGGGTTCAGTTTTGGCAAATTTGGATAAGTAGGTGTTCCAAGCATCTATATGAAATTTTCATAATTTTTCTCTTTAACTGTGAAAATTACTTTGCAAAGAAAAGGATAAATTATGAAATTTTTGCATAGTGGTCTGGAACATCCAACTATTCAAATTGGGTGCTCTAGAAACCGGAAATATCGGGCAGCTTACACTGTAGAACTGAAAGCTCTTCTTGCTTTCAACCTTGCTCTCTCTTAATCCTACTCCCTCTTATTTATAGTACTACTTTTCATCCCTTAATTTCATTAGTGTCATTGAGTTTGTCTCAATTGTCCCCATGTTTTTCTCTCACTGTCTATGTTTACCATTTGTTACTTCAGAGCAAGATTGGAGAGAAAATACTTCTGATTTGCAATTTTGGGGGACAAATTGTTCAAAACAAGAATGATGGTAACACTCTGTATGAGGGTGGAGATGCTAGAGCGACAATGGTTGCTCGTGATACAAGTTTCACCGAGCTCCAATCGAAATTGGCCGAGATTTCTAAGCTCAGGGCCGCATCATTTTCTATTAAGTATCAAGCCATTGATTCACATGCTTTAATATCAGTCTATGATGACAATGATGTTGAAACCATGCTCTATCAGTTTGGTGATAGCCGGTCAATTCCAATGTACATCTCTAGGACTCAAGCCACAGAAGATACTGTGAACACCAATAGGTATTATCTTCATGTCACATCTTTCGCCATGCATAGATGGCATTCAATTTGTTTCTATACTTCAAACAATTCTATATAGTTTTCATTTGCTACAGGGTTGAAGAGAGGTTGGTTGATGAAGATGGTGGTGGTGGAACCGGAGATATTGAAAATCCACAAAGATCTGCACAAGGAATGCCTTGTACTGGGGATATTGAAAACCCTGAAAGCTCGACACCAAGAGTGTCTTGTTTTGGGGATATTGAGAATCGGCAAACATTGGCACCAGGAGTGTCTTGTATCAGGGAAATTGAAAATGAAGGAGTGTCTTGTTCTGGGGAACTAGAAACCCCTGGGCTAGTTTTGCGAGAAGCAATGCCCAAGATGGCAATCGGGAAGGAGTTCGAAGATGTGCGTAGTTTCAGGAGAGCATTGATATCTTTTGCTATAGCTGAAAACTTCGTCATAAAATATGCAACCAATGATCTCAATCGCGTCACTGCGAAGTGTCAGGCAGAGGGGTGCACATGGCGCATCCATGCATCTCGTATCTCAGGTTTTAAAAAATTTAGGGTTAAAACTATGAACCCGACTCACACATGCAGGGGATGGCTAAATGGAGCTCATCCTCAAGCTGGTAGCAAATGGATTGCGGATAGGATAAAGCAACGCCTTAAAGACAACCCCAAATACAAGCCGAGAGAAATAATCGATGACATTCGCCGACATTACGGTGTTCAAGTAACATATTTGCAGGCTTGGCAAGGGAAGGAGTTAGCAATGGCTGATATTCGTGGGTCATCAGAAGAAGCATATCGCATGCTTCCTTCGTACTGTCAGAAGTTAATCGATACGAACCCGGGCACTGTGGCCAATATTAAAGTAGATGAAGGAGATAATAGTTTTAAAAGATTGTTTGTGGCTTTTCATGCAACAATATCCGGGTTTTTACGAGGGTGCCGACCCCTAATCACTCTTGACGAATCATTATTGAAGACCAAGTACAGGGGGCACTTATTGGCAGCAGTTGCTATGGATGCTGATGGGGGTATGTTCCCCATGGCCTTCAGCGTGTCAGTGTCGGATGATATTGAGAGTTGGGTATGGTTCTTAACGCTTTTACGAGAGGTCTTGGTTCGTCCTGAAACACCCAAATTGATGTTTATCTCGGAGAAACAAAAGGGGTTGCAAACAGCTTTGGAGACGGTTTTCCCCGATGCTTTTCATGCATTCTCTATGGGAAGCCTGGCTGAGAACTTCAACGACGACTTAAGGAATTGCGAGTTGACGAGATACTTTTGGCTGGTCGCTCGGGCTAAGACTTTGTCAGAGTTTGAAGCTCGAATGGTGGAACTTGGGGCTGTTTCTGAGGCCGCGACAGCGTGGATTGAGGGAATTCCAGCGAAATTTTGGGCTGCAGCATACTGTGAAGGGATGAGATACAATCATTTGACGTCAAAGCTTTTGGAGTCCTTTAACAAATGGTTAGATGATTCACGAGATCTCCCAATTATTAAGTTTGTAGAGAGCTTACGTATGAAGCTAATGGAACACTTACATGAACAACGAGAGCTCTCGATGCAATGGACTTCGAAGCTTGTTCCTAGTGCAGATGAGAAGATAAAGAGGAGAACGGTCAAAGCTCACCCGTTTAGAATCTTTCGTTCCAATGGAACCCAATTCGAGATTCTATCAGATAAGGTAGATGAGGTCAATTTGGAACGTCAAGAGTGCACGTGTCGAAGGTGGCAACTTAGTGGGTTGCCTTGTGCACACGCTATAGCAGCTATAAATGCAAAAGGAGATCCAATTTCTGATTACTGTTCTCCTCATTTATATGTAGAGACATATCGTAACACATTTATGGAGACCATACATCCGGTACCCGATAGAACTCCAATGCCTGAGGTTCGAGATTTCTTAGTAAACCCACCTCGTATTCGAAGACCGAGTGGGAGACCCAAGAAGAAACGGGTTAAGACAGGAAACAACGAGGTTCGGCCTATACATTGCAGGAAATGTGGGGGCCTAGGGCACAACAGACAAAGATGCAAGCAGCCTGAATAAGCACATGGCATTTGTGTTTTCTTCAAGCCTATGTAAATGAATGATCCTTTTAAACGATAACAGAAAGCAAGGAAGTTTGCCTATTTGGTTGTCTATATTATGTTGTGGAATCTCTCTCGCTCTTTTGCATGGAAAGGATTGTTTGTAGGACCCCTAAATATGTTCATCCGGTGTAAAGGATTCAGCAGATCCGACATGCACTTCCCCGTCATGTTTCAATGCTTGGCTAGGAAACTTATTTTTCTGTTTTTCCTTCTCTTTAAATTTTTATGTTTTTCTTTGTTTTTTCTCCAAATAATTCTTGCAATTTGTTTTTTAAATACTCATTTTATACTGTATCCATATCACAATGTTACTTGTGGTAGGTATTTACACAATGATATGAAGAAAGAGGCCATACCTAATAGCATTGTAATTATGGAGAAACCTGTTAGGTGTCTCTCTGCACTTTCTGTTCCATGTTTTCCAATTTCCATTTGTTTCTTATAAAGCTATTCAAATTTTTACATAACCATATCATTATTATTTTCCTGTGGAACTTGGCACTCGTTTAAATTTATCTATTGTAGATTAAGTGCCCCAATGAATGGGAAATATTAGAACAGATTTCTACTCAAAAGTATTCTTACAGAGGAAAACAGAAAGTTGAGCTTTTACCTTAATCAATGGACGGTAAGGATCTCAAGTGGATGGGGTTTCTATGAGTCAGCCGACCTATACTGTGCATGTACGGACCCCCACTTAAATCTGTCTTAAAAATGGATTTTTAATTGAAAATTTCAGGGATATAAGATCTAGGCTAAGATAATCATGAATATGAAGAATCAAATAAAATTCTCGATATTTAAAATATGACTTTTTTAGGAAAATTTCTACACTGTCTAAAACTAAATTAATTTTAGCCTAGTGAATTTTTTACATCGTCTAAGCCATCTTAGAGATGGACATTAGTGTGTCAGCGGGCTCTTGCAACCGGCACCCGTTGACTCTGAATGACTTTTTCTTAAGAGGAATGACTGCTAAAAGTTAAATATGACGCATCCTTTCTAAATCACTTGAAAAGACAACCCATAATCTAAGGATTTTTAATTTTTTTTTGCGGGTAAATACTGTATCATGCTTCCTGTTGAATATCCAACGTCAAATCAAATTTGAACGATGGAGAATGGGGAAAACATGGCCTGTTTGTACACAATTTGAAGACCCCTTTATTGGATCAATCTTAAAGTTGGAAAGCAAATGCACTCTAGAGGGCATAGTAAAGTATCCACCCTAGCAAATATAGTATCTTCCTATTTCTTTTACAATGATCATGCCATTTAAGCTCTTAAGTCTAAGGAGATGAGCCATTTCTATACCTCTCATTGCTTCGCTCCCGCAACCAATGCACCTGACCAGCTATTGGCTGGCTTCGATGCCCGCACACCAATGGATCCCGAGCCCGATCCCGATCCCCAGGCTCTATAATTGGGAGGTAGCAACTTCATTAACCTATCTAAGCAAATATATTCTTAGGAAAAATGAATCAATCCCTAAACTGAGTTGATGGCGTGGCTTGATTTCCCTAGCACCTAACCTGATACATTTGAACAAACTTGAGGTTAATGGATTGTTCTTTAAATGGTTGTTTTTGAAAAATGCTTATTCTTGACTTACAACAATCATGCTAGAATTGTGGTGCTTTCAGAAACATGAAAATATTTGACAGTAAGCACTTGATTACCCATGTTTTAGTGGCATCAATGGTTTGCAATGTCTTGTCAAGCAGTCCGAGCTTGTAGCCGAAACATGACTCTTAGCCGAATCCTAATTCAACCATGAGAATTTAGATTGCCTTGAAATCAGGACAGTGAATGATTCAATAACGTCGAAAAGATACAATAAGGTTTTGATTCTTTGACACTATTTATCTTTTAAAATTGGCAAGTGTGAAACTTAGGAAGGAGACCTATAGAAAAAGAATACTGAATCTACTAATCCTAGTACCTGCTCATTATTTCAGGATTTTAGAATATCACTTTGAAGTAGGTGTTTCGGCACTTGATTCTAATCATGCCAAAAGAACTCCAAAACCAAAAACAATGTCAAGCTTAATTTTTTCAACCTTTTTAGTTTTTTGAGGAAAAGTTCATGGTGAGTGTGCCAACTCTTGCTTTGCCCTGGTTTTCAAAGGTTTTAGGACCCTAAACATAACCCAATTCCCTTCAAAATCCACCTATGTTTCAAATCCTTGAGTTGACGCTTTAAACATATAAATTTGATAATCTTTGAAAAATTGACATGAATCATCCAAAATAATATAAAATGGATCATTTTAAAGCTGAAAATTTATTCTTTTTTATTTCAAATTCATGATTATGATAGTCAAGATGATAGACCTCTTAGCTCCGAAACCCTTCTCCTATATGGGTTTTGGAAGGGTCGAATGACTACAATAGGTGCATCCCAGAATGCCCCTAAACCCTACCCCACTTTTTAATCCACAAAATCAACCTCAACATTTTTGTAAATTGGTACAGACCATTAGTTTAAGTGGCTCGAGAAATTCCCTAATGTTCTATTCTTCATTCTTATGTTTCCTTCTTTCTTTTGGCTAAGCATTTGATTGCTCATTGTTCAAAATAGATTTTTCTTTCTTTATTTTTTTTCTTGGGGTAGCTAGTGTTCAAGTAGATCTGTGTCCAAAATTTTGCAGGTCTGTCATCTCAACCACCATGATTATGGGAAAAGAAAAATGAACTTTAAAAATGATCCATTTCCTACTCTGTTTTTTTTTGTGGACTACTGGCTCAAACTCTTACAAAGATTGTCAAATCTGCTTGGTTTTTTAGCTTTAGATATGTAATGGATGTGGAAATAAACTTGCAATGACTTTTGGATGTGTTTAATATTCTAAACTTCCTGAATACAAAATCATGACTCTGCCAATTCACCTGATACTTCTCCATTTGTAAAATTCATTAGTGTTCTGCATTTAATGATTAAGGACACGGTTTTTATGCGATACCCGAGACACCTATTCAAATGCAGTCTCTTTCAAAATTTTATCTTAAGATGGATTTTGGGTCTAAAATTCTACAAGTCAATAATATCGACCGCCACACTCATGTATCTGAAAAAAATTAAAAAACTTGAACCTTAAATAGACCACGTGAACATATAGGTGAATATTCCATCATTGTTCATTTTAGTTCTTCACAGATTATCATATATACATAATTTTTGAGAAGCAAAATTATGGATCTAAAACAGAAATGCATCTAAATCTAGAGTGACTTAGGATGTACTTGAGACCCTAAATTCATATCTAGTATGGTTTTTTTTTAAGGCGGCTGCATTTGAATAGGAGGACCTTATACAATCATGAGAAAAGTTTAACTGATTGGGAAAAGTTTTAAGTGAGGTTTTGGTCAAATGTGGTTTCATATTAGGTATGAATTTAAGATATAAAACACATCCCACATTACTCTAGATGTATTTTCTCCACAGATGTATGCTATTGGAACTTAAAAACAATAGTGCATATGATGTAAAACACATCCCACATTACTCTAGATGTATTTCCTTCATAGATGTATGGTATTGGAACTTAAAAAAATAGTGCATATCTGATGATATACATAGTTAAAATGAAATAGTGATGAGTGGTCCACAAACAAAGCTCAATATAATCTATTTTAAAAATGCGTTTTATTTTGAGATTTGCAATTTTTGGCCGTCGAGATTATCGACGTGTGAAATTCTAATTCAAGATCCAAATCTAAGATGGGCTCTCAAAAAAGACCGCATTTGAATAAGTGCAACGATTTACATGCCAAAACCCACTCCATTAAAGTTTTCCCAACCTTTTAATGCCATATACTTTTTCCTTCCGCTTCCTTGTATGTGTTAAGGTAAAAAATTATATACAGTGTAAACTTTATATTATTGATGTAAGGCTCACCTCAAAAATCCTCGAAAAGAAAGTGTCCAACACTAGAAAAAATGGATTTCAAGTTTTGAACATAGTGCATCTTGTAATGCATTTTTGAGTCGTCAATTATTAAGATTTGCAAGTTTTCATAGATATGCTCGAATTAAATTATTTTTTAAGTTTAAAATTTTGTAATTAGAGATGAAAATAAATTTTAAAGCTATCACAAGTATTGAAACCACATTCCTTGACACTATTTGAAGGTACGACTTACTTTAATGTTTAGGGCCTCAGCCTTATAGAAACGACACCCTTATCTAGATCATCCATTTTCAAGATTTTCAAATGTTTATAGATTTGCTTTGAATACACTAGTTTTTAAACTTCAAATTTTATAATTAGAGATAAAGATAAATTTTCAAGCCATTATAAATATTTTTAGTACTGAAACGACATCTTTAAATACTATTTAAAGGAAAATTGTTCCCTGCGGCTTGGACTGCATTTATACAAGGGGTCAAGCAACCATCTTAAAGATAGATGCAAATAGGTAGTCCATTTAAACACAATTGTAACTAACGGTCAAAATGTTTTTTTTAATATAATTATTATTTTTAATTTTTAAATTTTTTTATATTCATGATCTCCATATTAAAGATTATATATTCTCTAAAAATTAAGATCAAATTATATTAAAAAAATAAATTTATTTCCAAGCCCACATTTCTACAATATGCGGGCTGGACGCATAGAAACCTGTCCTTATTTAAAAGTTAGCCTTTACTCTGATCTTTGAGGGCCCTAGCCATATACAAACCCAACCCTAACATCAAAAGCACACTTCGTATATAGACGATTTTACAGTTCGCTCTTTTCGAAATCTTGCGCAAAACCAGCGACTTTTCTCAATGTTCTGCTGCAAATCTAAATAATGGAGTGAGACAAATATTGGGAAAATGGAGTCTGAGAAAACACAGAAGCAGAAGAGGGCCAAGAGAAAAGAGGTTGTACACCACCATCATTTCCCTTCCACTCCGCTTTTTCTTTTCTTCTTTATTGTAAACTTTTGGGGCCATTTTGCATTATCATGACTAAATATATTCCTGAATATTAGATGAAATTTTGGGCAATTTCTTGCTTTTTGTCGGTGCAATTAATTGATTTGTACGTCTTATTGGTTTTTATTAAGAATGCCAGAAAATAGAGCAGATTCAGAGAAAATTTTGTGAATTGAGCTTTAGTGCTCTTGATTTTGCAAATATTTCATGCCAGTGATTTATGGGGCTATCTATATTTGGTTATGGAGGATATCTGATTTTCATCCTATTCCTGAATGTTTTGAGAAATTTTGGATTAGGGTTTGGTTCCATTGTTATCTGAAACTAGCTTCATTGTTAATTGTTCTGAGTTGTACTTTCATGATCGTTTGTTATAAATGAAGAAAAATGAAAGAGGAAATTATACAATATTGAAAATACATAAACTCTGAATATATATTCGTTCGGTTAATAGTTCTTTTTTTTTTCCTTTTGGCCCCTCCACTTTCCTCTTCATAGTACTTCTCTTTTTCCCTTGAGTTGTCTTCCATTACTACTGTCACTCTTTAATATCAATGTTTATTTCAGAGCATGGTTGTAGAGAAAGTGTTCTTGTTATGTCACTTTGGGGGACAATTCATTGGAAATACGAATGGTGGGAACACCTCATATGAAGGCGGAGATACACGAGCGGTAATGATTCCTCGTGATATAAGTTTCAGTGAACTCCAATCAAAATTGGCCACGATTTCCAGCCTAAGAGCGGGGTCGTTTTCTATCAAATATCAAGCCATTGGTGCATCTTGCTTTGTATCTATTTATGAAGACAATGATGTCGAGACCATGCTTTGTCTGTTGAGCAAAAGCCCATGTATATCAGTTTATATTTTCAGGACTCATATTGGAGATACTGCGAACACCAACAGGTATTATCTATGTGTCGCATTTTTTACTTTGCATCGATGGAATGCGCTTCGTTTATGAACATATGAATTTTCATTGTACAGTGTTGAACAGAATGTGGGTTATGAAGATGGTGGTGTCACTGGGGATATTGAAAATCCACTACTATTGGCGCCAGCAGTGTCTAGCATTCTGGATCTTGAAAATGCACAAAGATTAACACGAGGTATGTCTAGCAACCAAGATTTTGAAAATCCAGAAAGAGTGACACAAGGATCCTCCAGTGTTGAGGATCTTGAAACACCTCAGAGAGTGGCGCAACGTGTGTCTCGTACTCGTAAACGATCAGCAAAAGGACTGTCTAGTGTTGGGGAACGCATTCAAGATTCTGAAAGTACAGAAAGAATGAGAAAAGGATTATCTACCGTTGAGGATCTTGAAACTCCTCAGAGTGTATTGCAGGGTGTGTCTCGTACTCGTAAAAGATCGACGCGAGGAGTGTCTAGTGTTGGGGATCTTGAAACTCCTCAGAGGGTGACGCAAGGAGTGTCTAGTGATGGGGATTTTGAAACTCCACTAACAGTGTTGCCTTCTACATTGGTAATTGGAGCAGAATTTCAAGATGCGCATAGTTTTAGAAAAACCTTGGTATCTTTTGCTATTGCAGAAAATTTCGCTTTAAAGTTCATAAACAATGAAGCTAGTCGTGTCACTGCAAAATGTCGGGCAGAGGGGTGTACATTTCGCATTTATGCATCTCTTGTCTCTGGCATAAATTTATTCAGAATTAGAACGATGAACCCCTTGCATACATGTGACAGATTGCTAAATGAAAGTCATCCTCAAATCCAAAGTGAGTGGATAGCTGATAAGATAAAGCAACACGTCAAAGATAATCCCCGATACAAGCCAAAGGAAATTATGAAAGACATTCACCGCAATTATGGTGTGCAAATAGGATATTCACAAGCTAGGCGAGGAAAGGAGCTTGCGATGAAGATTCTTCATGGATCATATGACGATGCATATCACATACTTCCATCGTATTGCCAAAAGCTAATAGACAAGAACCCAGGAACCATTGCCAACATTGAAGTAGACAAAGAAGATAAGAGCTTTAAGAGATTGTTTGTAGCCTTTCATGCAACAATATCTGGGTTCTTACAAGGATGTCGACCCCTTATGGCCCTTGATGAAATGTTAATTAAAACTAAGTATTGTGGGTACCTATTGGCAGCAATAGCTATGGATGCTGAAGGTGTAATGTTTCCTGTTGCCTTTGGCATATCAGTGGCGGATGATGCCGAGAGTTGGGAATGGTTCTTAACCCAACTACGAGAGGCTTTGGTTGGTCCTCAAAGGAATAGATTGACATTCATCTCAGACCTACAGAAAGGGTTACAACCAATTTTGGAAACAGTCTTTCCAAATGATTTTCATGGGTTTTGTGCACAATCTTTAGCTGAGAGCTTTAACAATGACTTGAAGAATTGTGAGCTGACAAAATACTTCTGGAAAGTAGCTCGTGCTAAGACTCTTTTAGAGTTTAATTCTCGGATGGCTGAAGTTCGAGCTGTTTCTTCGAGAGCAGCAGTTTGGATCGAGGGAATTCTGGTAAAATTTTGGGCTGCTCCTTATATTGAAGGGATGAGGTACAATCACTTAACATCCAAGCTTTTGGAATCCTTTAACAATTGGATTGGGGAATCGCGTCATCTACCCGTTGTTAAGTTTCTAGAGAGCTTACGTATGAAGCTGATGGAACACATACAGAAACGACGAGAGCTCGGTTCACAATGGACTTCAAAGATTGTTCCTAGTGCCGATGAGAAGATAAAAAGGAGAATGGCAAAAGCTGATTGTTTCCGAATCTTTCGATCCAATGGAACCCAATTTGAGGTTTTATCAGATCAGGTGGATGTGGTTAATTTGGAGTGCCGTGAGTGCACTTGTCGGAGGTGGCAACTTAGTGGGTTGCCTTGCTCTCACGCTTTGGTGGCTATAAATTCGAAACAGGAAACAATTTCTGATTATTGTTCTCACTATTTCCATGTAGAGACTTATCGAAACACCTTTATGGAGACCATACATCCGGTACCCGATAGAACTCCAATGCCTGAGGTTCAAGATTTTGAAGTAAACCCACCTCGTATTCGAAGACCGAGTGGGAGACCCAAGAAGAGAGGGATTAAGACAGGAAATAATGAGGTTCGGCCTATACATTGCCGGAAATGTGGGGGCCTAGGGCACAACCGACAAGGATGCAAGCAGTCTGATTAAGCACATGTTATGTGTGTAAAGCACATGTCATGTGGGTATTCTTCGAGCCTATGTAAATTAATGATCTTTCGAAACCATAATAGAAAGGAAGGAAGTTTACCTATTTGGTTGTCTATATTAAGTTGTGGAATCTCTTTCCCTCTCTGTTTGTGTTACGTGAAAAGGATTCTTTGTAGAACACCTAGATATGTTCATCCGGTGTAAAGGATTCAGCAGATCTGACATGCACTTCCCAGTCATGATTCAATGCTTGGCCCGGAAACATATTTTTTCGGTTTTTCCTTCGCTTACAATTTTTACGCTTTTCTTTGTTTTATCTCCCCATAATTCATGGCAATGTTTTTAAAATATTCATTATATATTGTATCCATATCACAATGTTAATTTTGATAGTTATTTACACAATGATTGAAGAAAGCGGCCATACCTATTGGCATTGTAATTATTGAGAAACCTGCTAGGTGTCTCTCTGCACTTTCTGTTCCATGTTTTCCAATTGATTATAGGGCTATTTAAATTTTTATATATCCATGTCATTATTTTTTTCTCTGGAACTAGGCACTCTTTTTAAATTTATCCATTATAGATTAAGTGCCCCATCGAATGGGAAATGTTAGAACAGATTTCTACTTTAGCGCACATAGTTTTCTTTGTTGCTAGCGGGCACTATGTTTTTTCGCAGCAATAGCGCTATGTAGTTTTCTCGCAGCTAGTGCGCTTAGCACTACAGCTCGAAAGCAAAAACAATGGCCAGCGTGAAAGCCTTTGCACTAACACGCATCTGTTTCCTTACGTATTTTCACTAGATCGAAAGCCAACAAGCAACAGCTAGTGCGAAAGCTGTTGCGCTAACACATATTGTTAATGAGGAAAACAGAAGGTTGAGATTTTACCTTAAACAATGGACGGTAGTGATCTCAAATGCATTGAGAGATGACTGCTAAAAGTTAAATATGACACATCCTTTCAAAATCTCTTAAAAAGAGAACCGGTAATCTAAGGATTTTTAAGTTTTTTCGGGGTTGCATACACTATACTCATGCTTCCTATCGAATATCCAACATCAAATCAAATTTGAACAATGGAGAACGGGGAAAACATGGCCTGTTTGTACAAGCAGTCTGAAGACCCCTTTACTGGTTCGATCTTAAGTTGGAAAGCAAATGCACTCTAGAGAGTGCAGTATAGAATGCACCCTAGTGAGCATAGTATATCGTCCTATTTCTTTTACAAAAATCATCCCATTTAAGCTCTTATTATGAGGGCCAAGTCAAAGGATATGTGCCACATATTCGAATAGCCTAGAGTTATGTACACTATATTGCCAAAAATTTGATTTTATTAGGCCAAATTGTTGGGTTTATGTGGCCTTCAATGCTTGTAAAATGAAATGATATAGTAGAACCTGAACTCAGTGGGAGTGTGGTCCCTCTTGGATCATACTAAGTAAACGATGGTTTGTTGATACTGATCTGTGCTTAACGATCTAAGCCAGTCGGTTGGGAAAAACTCATGTTACCTAGGCATGAAGAACAAACCGATGATGGTTTATGGGTTAGCCTTTGATGAGGTCGGAGAACAGCCCGGATGAGTGAGCCGAGAGACTGTGTGACATTTGTGTATGATTATGGCCTACAGAGACGAGGGCCAAAGCTTCATCCATGTGCCATCACATGGCATGCATATTGATAGATCGTTCGGGAACGCCAGTTATCCACCTTTGGGTGAAGCGTATGCATGTGCGAGAGATACCCTTATGCGCCATAAAGTTGTGGTCGCATCAGGTCGTGTGACCTTGACTCGCCTCTAGGGGAGGACCTGTAATCTACAGACTGGGATTGTGACCCCTTGATTCATCGACCTGACTTTGGTGACCCGCTAATGGGCCCTTGCTTGGACTGGGGGTCATGAGAAACACTGGGTCGGTTTGATAAAGCTAGTGCACTCTATAGTCCACAGTTGAAGGTGGAGTATCCCGTTATTACATATTAGATTCCTAAAACCATATAGATCATTTTCCC